TGGAGACCTCTAGGAAGCGCATGGCCCAGTAGATCTCAGGGGAAAAAACAAATTACTCGTTCAGTTTCCTGGCGCTTTCATCCATGTTGACCAACTGCTCTCGACTTGTGCTGCCAGGTTCTGATGTGAGGGGTGAAATCCTATGCACTGTGTTTCACTCATCCCAACACCGCTGTGCTCAGTGGAGAAAACGGAAACGCGGAAATTAAGTGTAGTCATCACCATGTGCCAGCCACATCTGTAGGACCCATATGTAATGTTACAACACCCATTTGCAAGGAAATTGCCTTATATATATATATTCATAGCTTTACTATGCTTTACTATGGTATTCAAGCCCAACGTGTAGTGTATATGCACATACCATCCATGGAGTGTCTGCGACTCCATCCAGCGACGTGCCGCCAGGCCACGGCCGTGCTCAGCGGCCTGAGCTGGGTGATGGAATGCGAGACGGTGGAAACAGGAAAGAGCCATGACTTAGTTAAGCTTCAAACCTTTCTGTCTGGGAAGACATCCATGGAATGCTGCAACATGTTGCAATGATCTTTTGAGGTGCTTGAGGAATTGAGAATCAACGCAAAAAGAAACCACGTAGCAACCTTTGCCACTGCACGTGTAAGCCTTGCTCAACGAGTTGTGTACTCTCTGTTTCTAAATTGGGTGGTGGCCCCCTGACTTTGTATAGTATACCATGCCCTAAATAATGCCTCCTGATACAATATCCTGTTGAAGGCCCGGAATATCGAATGAGAGGTCCGTTCTGAGCCAAGGCAGAACCGCATCCAGCTTCGCTTTCTTCAAACCGACCTCACCATCCTAGCTGCCGAGCCACGCACCTAACTCCAACAAATGCCCGTCACTGGACTTCATATTCTCGGGCACGATGCACATGTTGCTCATCGCCAACCTGGGCGGAAGCCGACGTTCGTTTCCGTTCCGTCTCCGTCCAAAAGGATGGGCCGGTTCCGTGGCCGGTTCCGGGAGGCCGTCTCAGCCATACTGCCTTTGCAAGGCAACAATGCACATTACAAAGCTCAAAATAGACATGGAAAGAACGGCATAGACATGGGAGGCATCTTTCATCATTCAGATTGTGTACCTGTGTACCTGTCTCCTCGATTGAGCAGCCAGGATTTTGGAGGATGGACAGCCTCCCCATCTTCGCATCCACGAAAGCGCCCAAATCTTTGAAAGAAGTCGATGCCAGCAGTTTTTACCGTTTCTACTCAAAAGTTTCAAAAGATGGGAGGTGAACCTGGAGATGAACATCGAATATCGATGCCAAGCATCTCGAAGTTGCTTGGAGGCAAAGACCGATTCACCTCACATCGACTGGATTTCCACGCCACGGCGCCAGGGGCGCCGCGGTGAAAAGACACGTTGAAGGCCGAGGCGTGGAATCGAAAGGGCTCAACACCAAAAGACAGGTCTGAAAAACCACAAAGGGCAACGGGCAACCAACATGAACCAACCAAACACATACGAAAACCATTGCACCAAAATGGGGCCTCGATGGGAAGGTGCCTTAGCACAGCAAGTAAACTCTTTTGACGTGGTCCATGATGTTCCGCATTGACAAAGCCTCTCAGGTTTCTCACCTCTTCTTCGAGCTGGCTCCACTTCCCGCATGAATTGTCGCTGTCCGTGGTAAGCGCCTGCACCAGGTCCAGTAAGGGCCCGCCGCTGTAGCCATTGATCACGGCTTTCCTGGAAGGATGCTCGTTTGCGTCTGCATGAAGGATCCTCTTTTGATGAATCAATAGGGCAGCACCAAACGTTGAAGTATGAAATTCCATTGAATGATGTAGTATCTCAAGGAGTTCATCCCCTTGATCCTGGCTTAGGCCGCCAGGTGGCGGCAGCAATCATTGATACCTGACCCACCTTCCCCCTCCCTTGGACCATCTTACGGTAAACCGTCCACCTGTTGGATTTCAGAGAACCCCGGCCTGGGCTGATCCATGTACCCCCCGGGTAGGAGGTGACCCACCGGTGGCTCGAGCTGGCAGGTTTCGCTCGCACCAAAGGCCCCCGCAGGAAGCAGCCGGTTCGGCTTTGGGGCCAAAAGACCCAAAAGACATAACATGTTTTCCATGCACCTCATTGAGGAAAGTAAGTGGACACCAACACCAGTGGACACCACGCAGGACTCGCCGATATCCGCTCGAGAATTTTCTGATGGAAGAGTCAGTTTCTTCTCGGCTGCCGAAGCCAAGGCTCCACATGTTGGCAGCAGTCGTCAAAGAAGCCACATAGCTTTGTGGACAAGCGTCTTGCCAAAGGTGCAGACCTGAAAGGGATATCGAAAACGGCACAGTTCTGTGTGGGGATGTGTTCATAAACATCCAAAATGGATGCCTTATGCTCAACGACAAGCAGAAAGACTTTAACTTAAAGCATCACTATATATATAATTAACACATAGAAATGTGCTTTCAAATCTTCCATTTCTATCTGCTTCTGAACTTTGAAATGTTTCTCCGAACTCCACCACTGAGACAGCTGTTTTACGTCCAAACATCCTCAATCCTCAGCGCCCCAAACTGGCCGCTGTGTGCCTCCAACCCGGCTTCCGGAACGCTCCGAAACAACACCGCTGAAACCGCCCAGTCGCTGGTCGATTGCAGCCCAGAGGAAGAGTAAGTCACTCCAGGCTGGACCAAGCTCCTGAGCCCCGCAAACAAAAAACACTTCAACCAACTGAGCATCAGCCGTTGAGCATCGCAGCGAACTTGGTTAAATATGCTTTCCCTCCAAAGAACTGTTTCTGCCCTGTGAGTCTTCTAATTTTGGAACACAATCCAGTTCAATGAGGATATAATTCTAATGCTTTTCGACTCCCACACTTGTATACACTTGTTACATGTTTGACACTTCCGCGGGTCGGACCCACCACACCTGGCCGCCGCGGCCAACCGGCAGTCTAAGAAGGACGCCAAGGAGTCCTGCAGAAGGAACGACGTGGACACGGGTGAAGGAGGGTGTCAGGTCTCTTGGAGGAGCTGCGGGTCTTAGGGAAGTGTACACTTGCAAACGTATGTTATTTTGTTCTATAATATGGTATTGAATAATAGGGTGAAGGAGTGAGGAACGAGTGGGACACTTTCTGGAAATACTGCATCAGTGGTTGTGGAACAAAGACCTCGATAAACACACTAGTCTGGATCCCTAATCTTTTTCTTGTCAGTGGTGTCGGTGTGATACCTGAGCCACACCCATTTCTCTAGCAAGGACATTCGCTGCTTGCATGGCTTTCTCCTTCCTGCTTCCTTCCATGTCTTTGCACCCAAACACGCTGTCCATGAAGGCTTCTTCTTGTCGAAGCGGCACTTGCCAGTCGGAGGAGAACTGCTGGCAGTCGCCTTGCGATTTCCTGGCTGGCATGAAACTATCCCGAAGTTCGGGATATCCGTGAAGTGTCATGGTAGTTTGAACGATGTTCTTTCCTGTTGGGCCGGGGCCGTAGCTGTGTCTCCAAAGCTATTTGGCCAAGCAGCAAGCGATTGCAGAAGTATTGAACCTCAGAACATCTGACGCTGACTGCGTCGGGCGGCACCCCGCGTCGTGCGACCAGGTGCGACACGGTTCCGTTCCGAGCAACGGACGAGTTCAATGCCCAAACAAAAGAATGCCAGGAACCCGACCACTTTCGACCCAAGAAATGAGTTCAATTTCAATTGGGCTGGTGTTTGACATTCCATCGTTAGCACGGAAAAACACCAGCCCAATACATTGACAGCCCATGGAAAAGGGCCACACGCTGGCATTGGGGCATGTCCGGGCCTGTGCCGGACATGGGTGGATATGGGTGTGTAGCTGAACATATGGAGACCGACACCAGCCGTTCTTTCCCTGGAAGGTTCGGGAAATAGACCCGTCTAGCCGCCTAGGGCCAGGGGGGTCCCCCTAATGAATATCACACATCCATCTTGGCAGGTTCGATGGAGTGACTTTAGGCTCCACGACTGAGCCCGAAAAAACGACAGGGTTCGATAAGTCTTGCTGACAAACGACCGATTACCTTTGAGAACCATTTCAGTATATTATGGTATATTACATACATAACTACATACTATTAAAAGGCAACCCCCCTTAAGCCTCCTTAACCCATGAACCTGAAGCCACAAAGACCTGTAAAACATTGTAAAACAAAAACAGGAGCTAACATCAACGCGTATCGCAAGGTAGGAATGCCTCAAACAAGAAACAAAAACTGGCCATGGTCGTGTTCGGCTGGATTCTACGACAAACAAGCAACCCTCTCTGACGTGGCAGCCCCTTCCGTACACTTCTTGCAATGCGTTCTGACGGGATGAGTGAATGACCTCTAACATCCATTAATATCCTATATACTGAAGCTCACGAAACGCTAAGAAAGCAACATGGCAATCCACACACTCTGCTGGCTGCAACGTTGCTTTCTTAGATGGACAACCTCCTGCTTGCCCAGATGACTCCGCGGGCATACGCCGAGCAACACGAACCATCTGGGCATACGCCGGGTATCTGCAGAGCAACACTTGCTGCCCATGTTTCAGCAGCATCACATTACCCACACAGGCCTGAAACGTGCATCTGCGTCATGTGCAGAGTCAAAGCACGATGAACCTCTGAGTCAAAACACGAAAATTCGCACATTAATGGATGCTTGTCCCCCCTCCTTTGCCGAGGTCCACAGAGCGATGTGACCCTGCATGCCTGCACTCGCCCTTTCTGCAGGCATGCAGAAAATGACGAGCTTATTTCTATGGTAGACTCTTGATTTATATAATAACCTCCCTCAATTGAATGGAAACACCTCTTCATAACGGGGCTTTCTGATCAAGAGTCTACATTATTGATATTTATTAATAGCCCCCCCCTTTTCGGAAACTGGATGAAGCAATGAACTGAAGCTTTCGGCTGGTGGATCTGTTCCTCAGGGAAAAGGGAAGAGAGATGTTTCGAGCGAAAAAAAGAAACTCCCCTCAAGTGGATCTCGTCCGATTTCGGACTTCGGAGATCGATGAAGAATCGCCCAGGAGGTGGGGCGAGAGGACTCCACATGTCTTCCAGCACCTTTGGAGCGAACCGACGAACACATCGGTCTCGACGAAGACATCGAGCCATTTGATCCCAAAGAAACATCAACCATTGGGTATCTCTCATTCCCTGGCAAAAGCCAACAAAGGTTCCAAACAGATCGAGAAAAAACAGCAAGTAGGGTGCGAAAAAATACCAATCGAATGGCTCCTGGTAAGTAGGGTCTGAAAATAATCCAACCGACTTGCTGCTACCCTAAGACTCCGGGCCCTCAAACAGATAGGGTTTGGGAACCCTGCGTTTCGGTGTCGGGTCCGACCCCTGCCATGGAGTCTCGCTTCTCCAAGTCGCCACCACGTCTCCCAGCTCGGGGTGAAACTCCTCGCCCACCTGGTGACTGAGAGGTGAGGGGTGGGGTGAACGGTGAGTGGGGTGGAAAGAAGAAACAACACCCAACAGACATCCATGGGACTGACATCTTGTGCCTTACAAATTAGGGCCGGTTGATTGAACAAATGTCTCGTGGCATATATTCCAGTGCCATGGAGTGTCTGGGAACACCAACATGTTCACTTCGTGTCGGTGAAGCGTCAAGAACATCGATGCCCTTCGATGGGGGGGGAAACGATCGGGGGGGACATGTCTAGCAACTTGGGAGCGATGGAGTATGTCGAAGCCACTTGATCTAGCCATTTTGAAGCCATGTGCTATCGTTTTCTGCTCGATGGTTGGAAGACATGGGTGCTTTTGGAGCAGGAAACACCCAGGGCCGTTGCTCTGTTTGGGAGTGGTCTTCATCTCGCGCCGATGTTCATCTCACTAGCAGGTGCTTTGATGGCCATTTTGTGGATCACTATTGGTGGCTGAGATGATAAATGACATGATGCTTTGAAGGGATCTGGTGAGAACTTGTGCAGATCTGGGGCTTCTCACATCAAACTTTCAGGATGCCGATTGATGCGAGCTACAAAAAAAAGCAGGGATTACCAGCAGGGACACCTGCCCCACACTGGAACTATACTTCATTACCGGCATAGCCGCACAACGCCCCCAACCTAGTTGCTGCCAGTCAAAGCATTCAGTGTATTTCAGTGTAGAATCTAGAACAAAAACTTCAAACAGTAAAGCTGGGATACCCAGCTAGGACAAACAACCAACAGGTCTTGACTCGCTTGTGACCTGCCAAGGCGCGTCCCAACTTGAGGCCACACACAGCTCCTTTAATTTTAACAGCTGTTGCTTTCACCCCACCTTGAGATCTCAATGCAGGGGTCTATCTCAAATTAACTAGACTGACCCCCCCAAAGGACTCCTGCCGCAAAGGGCTAAGAACTACCTCCCCACAACCACTGAGGATGCTCGGTCATGTTTCGTTGGATGCTCAGAACACCACCACTCCTTCCGTTCCTTAAGAGTATTCCTTTCGCACCCTTCCACACACCGGTCTCCTCCCGCTTCGACCCCCAACCGAGTCGACCCCCAACCGCTGGTCCACGCGGCGATCGTCGATGTCGACGGGCTGGGGGCTCCTACCAGCACTTGGCCTGAGCCGCAGATCGCGGTGACCCTCCAGCTAGGCTCCCCTGCGATGGACAGGAGTGACACGAGTCATGTGGTGTCGACTCCGTGGGGGGTTTTCGACAGGCGTGAAGAGATATCATGACAGATCTGACGGTCTTGCGTTGTTCTTGGGGGGTCCCAAAATCCGAACTTGGTCAAAATCCTTTATCTCACTAAACAACACCTATGGGATCATGACATGATCTTGGTTGTGAAGTGGATACTTGGGGTAAGATAAAACCAAAAGTTTAGAAGGATTTGAAGCAACTGATTACCGGAATTTTATCTTACACCCAAGCAAACAGCCCACGATATCATATTTGCCACTTCCATGACTTGTTAACACTCTGACTCTGGCCCTCAGAAAGGCTCCCTACCTGGCCTACCGCCGAAACTGAAGAACTTTCTGCCGCTCTGAACAATTCCTGACCCTCAGTGGCCTTCTCCCTCCAAATCCACCTTAAATCCTCCCACCCGGTTTGCATGAACCTCAGCCTCAGAATGACAAAGAGATGTCCACACATGGTCCTTTTGACACTCCCCCACTTGTTTGGTAGGAGGTTGAAGATCAATCCTGGAACGTTCCTGGAAACAGCAACGCCAAACGCCTGTGATGGCCATGTCATGGCTTGCGGGAACAGGAGATGAATCAAGAATGGTCAACCTCAGGGACTGGTCAGGCCGAATCGTCTGGTGATGTTTTCAGAAAAATACAGTTGCATCAATATCACTTGTATATAGATGAGGCGTGTTGCCGTTCGCTGACCTTGCACATTGCATGTGTGTAAGATCCCACTGCATTGCATACCCATTGACACAACATCCAAGCGCCATCGTGAACTCTTTGTCGTTGTGCTATTTGCTACCGGTTGGTGTCCAAGTGCAGCAATCCCTACAGTACTACGACAGCTTGGATTGAATTTTGTGTCCCATGGTGAACTTTGCATGACCTTTGGGTCCTCTAACCTTCAAAAATGCTGACATACCTGCACCCACAGTCCGCATGCAAATTAAGAAACACTGATTAAACACGAGTGGCGGAACCAAAATGTTCAGCAACTATTGCAAGATTTGGAACTACCAACCTCCCCAAAGCTAAAGCTTATCAAACTCAAGGTTGCCTAGCAACCTTTCGTGACATGGGTTGATCGATCCTAAGAGCACCCTCCCTGATCATCCTTGACCAACAAACTAAGGGACTATGCAACTCCTCATTCTTCAAGAAAAATCCAGCTCTTAACTAGACAGCTCCTTTCCAATCCATCTCCGCCTCCGCCTCTGACACCAAGTCACTGTGCCCCCCAGCGAATCCACGGACGCACGGCGGCTGGCACTGGCGGCTCGAGATCCAGATGGAAAAGGTTCAAACATGTCCAAAGCAAGCTGTGATGACGTTTGGCTTTCAACAGCAACCAATGGTTGTTCTCCACCACCAACACATAGAACACTAGCAAACACGGATTTCTATATTCGCCAATGGAATGCCATAGTAATTGTCGATGTGGTTGAGACCTCATCAACTATAACTGTAACAGGTGCGCACTGAAGAGCGGTAACAAGTCAAAATCTACATTCGCAGGATCGGCTTTCCTGTGGTGAAGTTTCCTGCGCAACTTCCGGCCTCCAATCTCACTTGCAACGTCGGCTCGCACCGGAACACAAGACGCTAAACGGTCCCAAATACAACTAGACCAAGCAAAAAGCGTGGCAGTGTTGGTCGCACAAAAAGAAGGTGCCGTGGCACATAGGGCGGGCCGAAAAACTCCAAATTCGCCCTCTGGAATTCTGCTGGCTCCGCAAGCGTTACAAACCTCGCCCAAAAATCGAAAGTAGAGGAGCCAAAGACAAAGACCATACGCTTTCCGTGTTAGCTCCAAACGTGCACACATAGTCCGTGAGCACGTGCGAGTCCTTCCCCTCAAAGACCCTGTCTTTCAAAACCATAAATGCTGTGCAGGGTTTGCCATCTGCGTCCACGCAGTGCTCACCCCGCAGCAGGTTTTCGTTCGTAGCGTGGGAAAAAGGGTTGAGCGGGGAATCGTAGTTGGGGCGGGCTCTGATTGCTGGGGCAGCCATGATTCCGGCAAGAAGTGGCTGGTAAAGGGTAAGGACAGGAAAAGCTTGCAGCCGAAAATGCAGCGAAAAAACCGCGACCAATACGCAACAGCTCCAGCCACGAAATTCCAAGTAAGTACCGGCAGTCCAGACTCTCATAGAGCAAGCCACAAGAAGAGAAAGTCAATAACCAAACAAACTTGGAGACTCGAAACCGATAAATCGTCCAAAAGACGTCCACTACAATAATGAGTGCATTGAGGGTCCGTTCTCCCTGGATCCCTTGTCGTTGGGCGCCAACAAGTGACTTTTCACAGGCGACTCGTCTTGGAGTATCTGTCGGTCCCCCAGTTTGGAAAACCAGGCATTTTGCCCTCACGTTTTAGTCTGTTGGCCTGAGCAAGCCAGCAGAAGAGAGGGTGCACAAGTGTCATCCCCAAAAAAATCACCTGGAATCTCGTTTGGAGCAATTTCCTTGATTGTCACACACGTGCTTGTAGCCCAAAGCCAAAGCAATCAGTAGTTTCTGCTTATGGCAGTCCCTGTAGTCTCATCGTCCAAGTTTACCCACTACCGAGAAGTCCCAGTACTTGAGAACATGAGGAGTTCAAGCCCTGCCAAGAACTCACCGGGACTCCGTCCTTTGAGTTTCCAGCCACCTCTTACGCCAAAACATTCTTAAAACCTCTCCAAGATACAGCTGGAATCGACACGTCTTGCAATGTCGCAAGCGACACGCACACATCAACAAGCATGGGCACTAGATAATATGCGTTCGACTGTGGAAGCCAAAAGCAGGTAGTATGCAAGCCGGCCCAACCATCAATCTTTAAGCCCAAGTTTTCGTAATCCAAAAAGTCTCAATATCCAAAAGCGCCAAGACTCACAAAATCTCACAAAGTTTCAA